GTCGATTTGTAATAGCTGTAAGAATATAAAAACTTCGGCCTGCCAAAGTTTACTTCCTTTTTTTGTTTTTTTTTAATTTTAGCTTATTCTAGCTTATTTTTTTTCAAAAATCTAGCCTTTACGGGCGCTCATCACCTGGCAACACTGCGTACAAGTAACAAGCCGCCGCAATTTTAAATCTCCTCAGAACGGGAGACATAATAGCTTTCGTTAGCTGCGCCTTATCGATATCAGTCGATATCATTAATATCTTTACCCTTAACATTTTATTTTTATTAAGCAAGCAGAGTTTTTTTTATTTAATTCGAACCTATAACTATTCAAGAATGTTCCTTTAAAATTTCAAGCGAAAATTTCAAAAACTTTTGAAGTGAAAAAACGTATACTTGCAACGGATTTTGTATAAAATAATAAAATAATTTTAAAAATTGTAAAAAAACAAATTTGATGAACAAAAATGTTGTAAATAAAACAAAATAATCTCTGTAGTACTTTCTCGGCTACCACCACATTAGTTAGGACCTAGTCGAATGCAATTAAAAGAGTGAAAATTGTGTTTGAAGTATTGTATGCATGCGTAGTCTTGCCGTTGCTTATATAAATGTACGAATAGTTACCGTCAACAGTATTTAACGCTTTCCTTTTTTAAAAATTAAAAAAATAAAAATTTATCGATAAATGTTAATGTTTAAATATATCTTCAATGTAAAGTTTAAGTTTCGACAAGATCCGAATACTTTTTTGCACTAAGATTAATGGATACTGATTCAGAATCGGTGACATAATGCCCCAGTTTTAGGATAATCATGATCTCAACATAAAATAAAAACCAAGAAATTCCCAAGAAATTTTGTATTTAAAGGCATCGCAACATAAATTCTAGGGTAAAATGAAATACAATAAAATTTCTTCATTTGCGGGCGTGCTTTTGTAGTTTTAGAAATTTATTTTTGAAAAGAAAAAAAACTTTTCTCTTTAGAAGAAGAAAAATAAAACAAGAAAACATTTTCTTAAGGGTAAACTTTTTTAGATTTTAGAAATAACTTTTCTTACAAATACCTTTAATCTGAAAAGCCCTAATCTTTTGATATGTTTCATAATTATAATTATACCCGTTACTCGTAGAGTAAAAGGGTATATTGTATTCGTGCAAAAGTATGTAACAGCTAGATAGAAGCGTTTCCGACCCTATAAAGTATATATATTCTTGATCAGGGTCACTAGCCGAGTTGATATAGCCATGTCCGTCTGTCCGTCTGTCCGTCTGTCTGTCCGTCTGTCTGTCTGTCTGTCCGTATGAACGCTGAGATCTCGGAAACTATAAAAGCTAGAAGATTGGCATTCTGCATGCAGATTCTAGGAGTTCCTACGCAGCGCAAGTTTGTTTCAAAAATGTGCCACGCCCCCTTTAACGCCCACAATCGCTTATATACGATTTTAAAAATTTAAATATTTCGGAAAAGTAAAAATGCAGTTTTATTGTGTTTATCAATACCTATCGAAATGTAGAAGAAATTTTTCAAATCGGACCATTCGTTAAAAAGTTATGCGTGATCAAAGTTTCTATCTCCATCTCCCTCGCACTCCCTTTACCTGAGTAACGGGTATCTGATAGTCGGGGTACCCGACTATAGCGTTCTCTCTTGTTTTTATTTTAAGTATAGTCAATTAAAGTTTTCAAATTTAATGTTTTCAAACTACTTTTTTTAGTCTTTCAACAGCACGTGGAATTTTACTACAAAGGTACTCGATTGTAATAGTATTGCAAAGTATTTTTTAAATAAAGTAAAGAACTATATTTACAATTAAAAGGCGTTGAAATTCAAACTAAAAGAGAAGGTAATGCTCATTTTCATATCAATTTTGGTTTGCTGGTTACAAATTCTGTGACCATTTTAATTGCAACATGTTGCCTGGTAAATGTTGCAGCAATATCTAATGTTGAGCTTACGTGCCTGTTAAGTATTGCGCGCGATTTAAATTTCTAAGATGTGAGAATTTGTTTAACTCGCTGATATTATTTTTTTATTGTTAATTACTATTTGAGAATACCTTTTTTACCACCGTTAAACCCTTGAGAATTCTGACTAACTCTTTAGATATGGATTACTGTTCAACGCATCTCGGATCAGAGTCGGCACAGAAATATAAATCGTTATATCCTTATCTGTTAATGTACTGTCGGTTTAATTAAAAAAACAACTTTTCCAAAATATTGAAATAATACTTTCGGATATGCGTTGTGTACATATGTTTCCACCCAAAGGTTGTATTTCCGATTATTGCAGCAGTTTGCCAACTTGGTTTTGTTTTTGCCAACTCGATAGTTTTATAAAATAAACCAACTGCATTTTTTGTTCCACTCAAAAAGACCACGAATCAACACTCTTTTCGAAATATTGCATCGTATATTTTATTGTATTCGTTGGAAAGTATGTGACAGGCTAAAGGAAGCTTTTTCGACCCTATAAAGCATACATATACATACATATGAGCATGTTCAATAGCCGAGTCGATTCAGCCATGTCCGTCTTTCAGTCCGTATGAACGTCGAGATTTCGGAAACTACATGAGCTAGCATGAAGATTCTAGGTGGGCAAAATATGTTACAACCATACACACCAAAAATTTTCCAAATATTATTTTGAAATTGGTTAGCTGAGAAACGGGTATCTTCTGGTCGAGGCACTCGACTTTAGAGTTTCTCCTTGATTTTTTTTGACTGGGTCAACAACTCGAAAACCACTCGACTGTGGATGCAATTGCGGTCCAGTCCCTTTTGTCCGCTAGTTGAAGTTGAATGACACATTTCTGGGTCACAAGGAAGCTGAAGCCTTAAAACTCTTAATTAAGTGCGAATTGAAAGTGATTCTGAGTAGAACCATATCAGTGTCTGATATAACTTGTTTGCCAATGAATTGTGCTAATTTTATATCCCAAAAAATTATGTTTTTTTTAACTTATTTATGGTTATCTGTGTTATGGAATTCCCCATGACATTTTTCCACTCAACTTTGCACTTCTCCACTTGAATAATTAACATTACGACTAGTGTATAGCACAAATAAAATATCAAAGTCATGTGGGAATTGGTGAGAACAACAAAAAGAGAATAAAACAATGAGACTCACAAAATGTTTTTCTTCCTCCTTTTTGCATTTCACTACGCGTTTGTCATTATTGTCAGCCGTCTTTTGTACAGATTCGTATATACACATAGATGTATTTATAACACATCTACCCGCATTGTGAGCCAGACATGACAACAGGCTTTAGAATCGACCAAGAGGCTTTGTATAACAAATAAAGTCTTCACGACGAGTTCCCCGATACGTCCTCATAACTCTATTTGTTTGTGTTCAGGGCCATTGTAAACAGTTTAAGAGTTCAGTGTGTTCCGATCACAGTGCAAAGTATGGGCCCATCAAGTACTTAGGTTTCCGCGCAAAATAACTTGAGCACAGAGAAAAATATAACCGAAATCGGGTATCAATCGTTAGTTCTTTAAACTTGAATGGCTTTTATCTAATGGTATACCAAATGTTATTTTATATATATATACTATCAACTCAATGTTATATAGATATGGTTTATATATCATATTAATAAGTAAACTACAATAGTTCTTCTTTATTAGGTTAGATGCAGCTTAACTATGGTTGCTAACTGCGTGGCTTAATAATTCAGCGAAATTTGACTCTCGCTTATTGGCTCACTAGTAATTATATAATCTCATTCAGACTGGTATAGCAAGAATCTAGTAGCTCTATGATGGAACCAGTTCGGCGCATGAATAATTCAATTTAAGAGTAAGGAGAGTATTTCGATGAACAACAAGTAAAAGTATTTTCAATTTTCTACTTCGAATTGTAGTTTTAATCCACTGCGAATAAGTAAACTTGTTAAGTATTCAGGTAATCATTGTAAGGCTGAGTCAGTAGTTGGAAGGTCATTAAGCAGTAAAACAACCAATCACTTGATTTGAGAACTAAACTTTAAACCTGAATAACATCAATAAGAAGAGAAAATGGAGAAGAATTTTTCTGATTCACCAAGGAAAGTTTAGAGATAGCCTGTAATCGTGAACTGTTTCAACATAAGTTTCTTACCAGACAGGTAAATTACTTGACCAATTTTGAATGAGCAAACAATGGTTCAACAAAATTCTTTAAATAAGTTACTGGAAACAATCTTATTAATTGTCTTATGTGCACAAGTTGTGCTGCATTCCGTTGTCAGAGTATTTCAAAAGTCTAATTTCGACCAGCCTTATAAGCACACATCTTATTAGCTCACTCTAATGGACAATTAAAGCGTCACACACACTTTTAATTAGAGGCGGAGATATTTCACGAGTACAGGTAATGTGGCTTAGTTGCCCAGATTGCCTTGTTACGGTTTTAAGAAGACTTTAATTCTATTTATCTCAAGGCTAATAGAACAAAAGGAAGCTGCACAAACCCGCAATTTTATGGGACCCGAAGTGCTATCTTTAAAGTTTGTTCCGCAATTAGTTTTCCTCTTCTTTGTGTATATTTTTGGCTCAGATTTATGGCTTTTTAACCTTACTAGCAATAAGAAGTTATTCATTTCTTTTTCAAACCGCAATCAGGGTTGCTTTGTGGTCGATCAGCAGAAGGTTAACTATATGTGAAGTTCATCAGGTGATGCCCTAAACGCTTGTTTTCGAATTCTGCATCTTTGCATGCAGGCAATTGCGAAAATAGAATTGCCTAATTGCTTTTAATGGCACTCGGCAAGGGGCAAACAAACCGAAATCTTGCACAGTAGTCGAAAAAACCAAGAAGAGGGGAGCCCAATAGGTCAGTCAGTCACTAAGCCTGAGCCCCTCGAACCCACCAGCTACACTACATATGTACTGAGTACATATACTCGGATCGGCAAAGTGGAAGTTCTCTGCCGACGCACAAGTCGACGGCTTGGTTTGCATCTCGCGATCTGCAGCTTTGGGGCTTTAAAATCGACGATCGACCGGCAACCAGCTCGCAGTTTAAGTTCTCAGCTTCGCGTTGACGGACCTCCTACCACTCCACTCACTAATAGTTTATAGACTCTTGGTTTCTGACTCCGTTGCGTGTGGCTGCATTCATTTACATCTTATAAATTGTTCTTAAGTGATATTTCTACCCAAAATGATGAAATCCGTGTGCCTAGTGATTGTGATCCAAGCTCTTTGGATAGTAAGCGCGGAGACCCGTAAGTTGGGACTATAACGATATTATTGACAAGAATTAATAATAAAGTAAACTATATTAGGAAACCGAATCTTATAAGTGTTAAATTCTTTTCCATGAATAATATATTCAGTAGAATGGAAATGGCAGCGTAATGTTAAATCTGAAATTATAATTGAAACACTAACCCAAATTTTTTAAAACAAGGCAATCTTTCTTTAAACTGTTAAATGTTTTTTACAATAATGTTGAATTTATTGACATCAAACTTTGCATTATCAAGAGTAAAATGCTGTGGAAATACTCATATCTCGAAAGTTATTTTTCTATTTGTATCTATAATGCTTAATATACATACATATACATATAGTATATAATTTAAAATATTCAAATTTTATTTGACGTTGTGGACACAGTAAATTTTAATGCAAGCGTGATTGACAAATGTATTTAGAGACAAAGTAAAATAAAAACAATATTACTGTCGGAACTAATCACACAGTAAACAAAATGTTACGTGACACTTAAGTTGTCATCTAAGTTATTCCCGCAGTTTTCTCCCAACTTTTTTCTCATATGCTAACATTTCTTTAAGCTTTATTACCTGTAGTGAACTATTGATCTCGAACAAAAATGTGTAATGCTGTTTCTGTTTGAATAATATTTGTTTAATACCCTACAAAAATTAATTAGCGTACACTCACTTCAAAACTTAGAATACTTGAGTCTGTGTAGGGCTTCCAAAGTGTGTTTTCTTGGTCTAATATATATATATTTTAGAATTTTATATAGAATTTACTATTTAAAATAATATTTTTCATTTTATAGTTATTAGGTTATTATTTTATAGCTATTATTCTACAGTCACCCTTTAGTCTGTTCCCTAATTTTTGAAAGGTAGAGAAAATCATGTCGAATTATTTAACGATGAAATGTATCAAGTAGCACCAGCAACAATTCCTAAGGTGTTTCATTTACTTTTCGCACCTTCTGTGTACAAAGAGTGCAATCGCATCCTCAGGAATATGTCAAATGTCAAGATTACCACCAGCTGCCGAAATCTAGCCACTTATTAATGTGCTAATTGCGTGAGGCGACACGGTTTTGCTTGACAAATGAGCGAAACAAAACAGAAAGGGGGACAAAAGCCCGGCTTTTCGGCCGATGAGTGTCAACAGAGACTTTGCTTCCGCATCGCGCTCAAAATAAATAAATGTAAGCACTACAAGCTAAAAACTCAAAATGCAGACTATGAACCAAATCCATACTTAATTAACGCGAGCCGTGGCCGTTGAACAGCCTTCAACTTGAAATTTAATCGCCGCTGCAGCTCGCCTTGCCATCGAATGGCGCTAATGAAATGGCCAGGCAACGATCATAATCACAATGGCAACGATAATGATACACCGGCTATAACCTGTCGCCACGAATGTGTGTCATGTGCCACAGAACTGCGGCACAACAGGTTCTAGGGTGCACTTCTGGCAACCTTGCTATCGAATCGAGATCTTGATTCCGATCTCTACTCGTTTGGAGGTCGCGCTGTGGTTTCGAGTTTATTTTCGAGATTGTCTGCAGAGTCGATGAACTTTACAGGAATTGAGTCTGTGTTGATGTTGATCTTCCACTTTGCCGACACTACTCAGTGTTTATCTTCCGACGAAGCGGAAAGTAATAACATCAACGAATTTATAATAATAGGTACTTTTAAATTATGATCAGACAATTAAAAATTAATATTTACTTAAAAATGTCACGACGTTGTTTTAAATATAAAATTTGAATAGCTTATAAATAATATTAATCATTTTTTAATACTAAACTCTACTGTAGATCGATGATAAAATGGCGATAAGGAGTGCTAATATAAAATGTGTTAAATTTAATTTAACTTGACCGTTTTTTAATGAATGTTTGGTTTCTTACAGCCGCCTATATCAAACAATGCCGCAGGGACGACCCCAAGTTGGTGGACTGTTTCATTGGAGCTATTGAACACCTGAAGCCCTACTTGGCCAATGGCATTCCCGACATTCAGGTGAGTGACTTTTCTCCTCTAGTTATTAGGTGTCGCACTTTGGGCTTGTATTTCTTTGAAGCGTTTGCTTAGCCAACGAGTTTTCAGTTGCATAAGATGCAATCAAATGAAAGTCACTGGGACTTTCGCACTTGCATAATGACTGTTTTCGCGGGAAAAAGCTGCGGAAGTGGTGTGGCTCCCTCTCTGCACAGTGGTGCAATGAACGTGATTCTGTTTTAAAGGTCATATAGTGTCCCAATATTATTCAAAGTCATGTTTTTGATCATCTGGATCAAAAGTGCTTTTTTGTCTGAGCATCGACCGCCGCTTCATGCAGTTTTTCCATTCGAAAAGTTATTTGAAATAAAACTCACATGGACTTATTGACTTTCGCAAGTTCGAGCCAATACAATAGTCAGACTATGTTCTTGAAATATTTTACTTAAATTCTGTACAAATCTTACCATAAGCCCCTTTTCAGCTGCCCTCTGTGGAGCCCTTCAAGATGGACACCCTGGCCCTGCAGTTGACGGAGGGTCCGCAGGGATACAAGATCACGCTGAAGAACATGGAGGCCTTCGGGGCCAGCAACTTCCAGGTGAAGTCCCTGAAGCTGAGCGATGGCAGCGAGCCCTTCAAGGCGAAGATCGTGATGCCCAAGCTGAAGATCGAGGCGAAGTACACGAGCTCCGGGGTCCTTTTGATCCTGCCAGCCTCCGGAGGAGGGGACTTTCACGCCAACTTCGAGGGTGTGAGTGCCGATCTCACAGGAAAGACGTCAAAACACGCGGCCAAGGGGGGAAACTACCTGCACATCGACGCCCTCAGCTTGGTTCTGGATGTGAAGGATGTGAAAATGAGCATATCGGGTGCTTTCAATAACAACCGTATTCTGCGTAAGTTGTTCTTTACTCTAGCTCTGATAGCTGTGATAACGAGATCCCTTTTAATTACACAGTGGAGGCCACCAACTTGTTCTTGCGCGAAAACTCTCAAGTCGTCTTGGAGGCCATGCAGGCTCAATTGCAGAAGAAGTTGGCTAGTGAATTCGGAAAACTCGCCAACCAGCTGCTAAAGAACGTTCCCATCGAGCAATTCTACGTGGATTAGTACTAAGTATCATAGATCCTAGTTCGTTAGTCTAAGCTAAGATTTATTTAACTTTAAATTACTCTGTAATGCTATGAACCAAGTATTAAATTGTATATGGTGTAAAGGTTTTTTGACTTAATTGGAAAGTTCGTTATGAAATGGAACAAAAATTTGCCTTTAAGTTTCCGATTTATCGATCAACCCGATCTCATATGAACTGTTTTCTATAAAGGGGTCTTTCCAACATTAATGATCATTACCTTACAAATTATTTTTGGTTCCATTGATTTCTTAAAAAGAATAAATAAATAAAATTCTGAAGTTGTGCCGTTATTCTGAAGTTCTAAATACAATAAAAAGGATTGAATTTGTATATTTTAAAAATGGAATTTTGTTCACGACAGTTCGGTATTTGGTAATTTCCACCAGGACTTACAAGCGAATTTAATTTAACTTCTTGATGATTTTTGTCCAATAATTTTTTTTGATACGATTGACATTTTACTACTACTACCACACTGATAAATTAGTAATCAGCGATCAAGTGTACATCAATCAGCGTTATGAATCTTTACTGCTTTCATTAAAAGCCCACCAAACCAGGTCGACTCTAACCAGGTTGACGAAGATTTTGGTTCCCTATATGTATTCCATTTTACATATTTCTTGCGTTATTGACCATTGCCGATGGGTAACTACCAAGGGGAATCCTTTAGAATTGGTATTGGTTTTTTGGAAGCTAAGCTTGTACTGGTCCTTAAATTCTGTAAATCCAAATTCTTAAACACTTGTCGAGAAATGCAATGGTAAACAAGTGGCTTTGTTTAAATCAATTAAAAAAGTACAAACCCGTTAAATATACTACAAAACTTAAAAAATATGTACAAATTAAAAAAAAAAACCGTAATGATACCACCATAATTTTTTTAATTTCATGGTTTGACTTATTATGTTTTAAAATTCAAATAATATTTGTATTATTATTCGTATAACTAAATATTTTCAAATACTTACAATTTTTTAATTTTTTTTAAAGCTTATATAAAATCTTCTTAAGATAAAGATTTAAAATTTTCAGAAGATTTTACATAAGCTTTAATAAAAAACTATAAGAATGTAAATACTTAAAAATAGACAATTCTTATTCCGCAACGCCATCTATACTATACTGTGCCATTATTATTTTTTCCCCCCTGGTTTTTGTGTTGGATAATTACCCACCACAAGCATTTGGTTGGAATTTGGTTGGATAAGCTTAGCATGCATTATAATGAATCAAAATTATTCATTATGAGTAAATTCGAAAAAAATGCAAAGTGATATTTGGAAAAGCTTATGTTAAAAATCATAATGCAATTGGTCCATCGTTTTCTTGTCGCAACCACATGCTGAAGTGCGTATTTCATTTTTCCCAAGCACCGCCACCTATGGGTCGTACAAACTTAGAAGAATACAAATCATAAAAACTTAAAAATGTAGAATTTTTTTTAAACAAAAATGTAAGCTATTACAAAAAGTTGAATATCAAACTATTTACTAAGATTAAGTTCACATAAATTTCAGATTTATTAGAAGTAAATATATTAGCTAGTGCCAGCGCTCAAGTCAAATTTCCCAATTCGCCTCAGTGGCAAATTCAAGACTTCGCCCACTCGAGACAGCAACCACGCCGTTGACTACGCGCTGCCAAATCGTGAATGGTATTTTACCATTACCTTTTCAGGTTCAACGTTTCACAGCTAGATGGCGGAAACCTCGCACTTTTATAACTCTAGACGTCTTAAACTCACATATGTGGCAAATTGGAAAAACTACTTTATTTGAAGGCGAATATTTTTGTTCTCATTTTTTAGAAATTTGACTTTTATGTTTTTAGTCGTAGTAAAAGGGTTTATCTTTTACACGTAAAAACTATACAAACAACACTTTTTGACTTTCAATAATTACAATTATTTTTGTCTTAAAATAATTAAATTATTATGAATGTTTTTAAAGCTTTTCAACAACTATTATAAGTGTTTTTATAATTATTTTTATGTTTTAGGTTTTTTGTCTCTTGTACGAGCACCAGGTGGCTTTTAATTTAATCAATTCAATCGCCTACTGTTAGTTGATACTGTTCGCACGAATTTGTTTTTTTTTGGTCTATATTAAAAGCGACAAGAAAACGATGCTTATGTTGGCTAATTATCCAAAAGATAAAAAACCCCTAGTAGAGTTAGTCTTTCAATATTGGGATCGTTTCCTGCGGTTTTCTGAGGGGGTCCCAGGGTCGTGGCGGATGCCTGGGAGCGGGGCGCAACTTTTGGAGGGTTTCACGCCGGGCGGAAAACTGAGAAGAGACTTTCAGAGACTATACTCAGATTTCAGGTCCAGGCAGTGTGACCACCCGTGGGTTTAACCCAAATATAGGCGCTTCAGGCCACTTTCTCAAGGCGTTACGGGTCTTTCAGCGTTTTCTCCAAAGAGGTCAGACAGTTTTGGCGCCGTTGTTCAAAGATTTTCTTGTGTTTTATATATTTTGGACCTTTTGAGGCTTAAATACTTTGCCATGTTGCACCCAGCGCACTATGTTGAATTTGACCCGTTTTCGTGGGCAAAATTAAAATTTTTGAAAATAACAACGCCACGCCTCCGCCCTCAGAAATCGAATAATAAATATGGAAGTTATTCAAGAAAAAAATTAATTATTATTTTTATTATTATAATTTTAATTATTAATTTTCAACTTCATCATTATCATCAATTTCATTATTATTATAAAAAAAAATGCATTGTCGTCTTCCCTTGCGTCGATATAATTTGCAGACTCATCTGCAGATTTAACTTCACAAGCCAACAGCTGGATGACTTCTACTGGCAAAGCAAGTCTCCTGTGTTTTTGGATCCGCTTTTTCAAATTTAATGATGATATTATGGGGTCGGAAGTATCCTTTGCTCTGTGGAAAACATCTGTCAGGTTGTTAACTCGGCTGTTTTTCCTTGCATGGTGGATTCTGTCGGATTTATATATTTTATTCCTGGATTCAGCTGCTTCCTCACCAAAATAACCCACTGGAAGAACACTGTTTTCTAATATAACTCTTGAGTGGACAAGAATCTTGTGGACCATCGCTGTCATTGGTAGCCATGGATATTTGTCAATTATAAGGTGACCAGTTTGATAGCAAAGTTCTTCAAATTTTTCGGCATTTATTGGCAGCTGACAGGATAATGAAATAAGAATATTCCTCATGTTAAAAATAATTTGTGTATCGACGCCAGTTATTTCTGCGAAAGCTTCATATTTGCTGAATGCACGGCGTGCAGTATTCCCAACATTTGTGCTTCCGAATCCTCCCTTCTTCTCTAGTTAAAGTAAGGCTCAAGTAACCTTCCATCCAATTCGAATATTTTTTTTTAAGTATCCAACTTCCAAAAGCATTTTTGCCAATTTCGGCATAAATTTGCAGAAAAAGTTTTGGCTTTATAGTTTAAATAATGAACATTTTTTTCCAAAACGCTGTCATCAATATTTTTTGTTAAGAAAGTGTATACGGCATTTCGTTTCTCGCAAAAGCTCCCTTGCTTACGCCACACTTCCAGCAGTTCTGCATTGCTGATCACGATGTTGCTCCCTAATAATTTAAATTACGCAGAAAACCGCAAAAAACGCATAATGAGCTTACATATTTTGAATTCAGAATTGACAAATCTACAACATGTATATGGACACTCACTGATACAATTTGAACCTTTTTTTAAAACCCTTTGGAAAGTTCAACTTTTTTTCCAAAAGTGACAAGGGGACAACACTTGCTAAATATACAAATTGTTAGAAAAATACGAACAAAACACGCAACATATTAGTATCAACACATAGTACTAACCTGAAGAATTAATATTCATTTTGAATTTTGTTATTTAATGATTTTTTTAGAGAGATATCCCAATTTGAAATTGCACCGCAAATTTAACAATTTGCACAGCACGTGGTCTCCTCTTGCAACAGCTGACTTTAACAGCTGTTTTTTTATACCCTTGCAGAGGGTATTATAATTTTGGTCAAAAGTGTGCAACGCAGTGAAGGAGACATCTCCGACCCTATAAAGTATATATATTCTTGATCAGGATCACCTCCTGAGTTGATATAGCCATGTCCGTCTGTCCGTCTGTCTGTCCGTCTGTCTGTCCGTCTGTCTGTTTCTACGCGAACTAGTCTCTCAGTTTTAAAGATATCGAATTCAAACTTTGTACACACCCTTCTTTCCTTTGCACGCAGTATATAAGTCGGAACGGCCGGGATCGGCCGACTATATCCTATAGCTGCCATATAACTGATTGATCGGAAATGCCATAACTCTGCTGTTTGTTAAGTTAGGAAGTTGGGACTTTCTATGGGTTTTATATTTGGCCAATCAATTCCACGTACCAAATTTCATAAGGATCGGCCGACTATATCTTATAGCTGCCATATAACTGATTGATCGGAAATGAAATAACTTTGGTGTTTGAAAAGTTAGAAAGTTAGGATTTCCTATGGATATTATTTTTGGCCAATTAATCCGACCTACCAAATTTCATATGGATCGGCCGACTATATCCTGTAGCTGCCATATAACTGAACGATTGGAAATGCCATAACTTTGGTGTTTTTAAAGTTAGGAAGGTGGGATTTTTTATGAGTATTAAGAATGCATCATATGAATAATTTTGGAGAATATAATTTGCAGAATATTCTGCAAGGGTATTTCAGCTTCGGCTCCGCCCGAAGTTAGCTTTCCTTTCTGGTTTAACATTAAACTGTTAAGTTAACATTTTAGGATACAATATAGCAATTTGATCATTTCTCAACATGATAACATTGAAAAAACGGAAATTTGCATACTCGCGAAAAATGAGTTTTGGCCACGGAAACGGGTCAAATTCAATATAGTGCAGCGCCCAGGTGGACAAGCACCTCCCACAGGTGGGTGATCCGCGCCGGCCAAGCGGGATCTTTAAAAACCTGGACGGCCTAAAATGGCTAAGGGATCACAGCAGGTGTTTCTACTTGATGGTAGACGTCATAAACCTAACTGGGGGTGGTACCTAGTCTTATTAATAATAATTAAACTAATTTTTAAACAATTTACGTACCCAGCC